GGACGTGTGACCAACATCCAGCCCACCAGCAAGATCTTCATGGCATCCTTGACCATCTCTGATTTGTGTACCGGTGTTTTTGACCTGATACCAGAAGTAGTCTCACTCATTGTTGGATATTGGCCATTTGGGTCTTTCCTGTGCTATGTGTATGTCGCCTTGTCTTATCTTTTCTACAGCCTGTGTTTCCTATCAATGCTCTTGCTGTTCATTGATTTGTATCTTGCCATTGTCCACTGTCTACATTACCCACGTTTGGTGACTATCAACAGATCCAGAATTGCACTTCTCTGTAGCTGGATGATTGCTGCAATAGTCTCCACTCTCAGCACTGTGCTGGAAAACCAAAGCCAATATGAAGAATTCCGATGCAATGTTCTAAACAACATTGGGATCCATTTAACGATATCTGGCCTTGTTGCCTTTGGACTGGTCTCCATTCTGGCTATGTACTTGCATATTTTGGTGATTTCTCGACGTCAAGCACGACGCATCGCGCAAGAGAACCGACCAGCAGAGGGAGGAATTCCACCAAAAAGAATCAGCACCAAATCCTTCTCCACGGTTGCAATCATGTCTGCAGTGGTGGCAGTGGGCTGGGTGCCAACCACCACAGTCTGGGCTCTTCTTCATCTGGATTTCTTTCCGTTAGGTGAGCCCAAGATTGTGTATACCCTGTATTTCACTAACAACTGGCTGAACGTTGTTATCTTCGGTTTGAGAAGTAAGGAATTCCGGCAGACGCTCCAAGGTATCGTGGCCTCTGGCTTGGGTGCTATTGCTGGGAAATGCAATTGCTGCCGTCATCTAACAGAGTAGACCATTGGAGCAATCCATATAAACTTAATGGAAGACCCGTAGGACTCGAGTTGTCTGTTCATGAGTGCCGAGCAGAGACTTCAGACTACGCATGGAAGCTGCCACTACACAGTGCCATAACCAAATTTTGACAGTATGCCTTTTCGTGGAGCAATGCTAGTTTTCTCCATGAGTCTACAGTCTTGACATTGGTTTAAAGCCCAGTGCTTCGATGTCTTGTTCTAATAACCTACCATGAAGTACTGCTAAAAACTGTACATGGGTGCTAGTATGGTCATTAGTTTCTTAGTTTTAGTTATGATATTCTTACATGCCGGTACGTGCACCATGATTAGGATGCTGACCTCTTAATACATGTAATATGGTGTGACCCTTTTTTCACTGAGCAATTATTATTTACCATTAGTCAGTTTCAAGCATTTTCATGGTAACTTGGTTCTACAAGTACAATCACAATCACCTGTCTTTTTTGAAGGCTGTCCATGGTTTCACAAGATGGAATTTTTTTTGCAAAAGCAAATACCATCAGGGAAAGAGGAAAAAAGGTTTGATGTACCATAAATGACTAGGATGTAGGGAAAATCTCAGCATAAATAACAGTTGAGCTGACATGGTAATGGAAGAAAATTTATGATCATGTCTAGCTAAGACGAGCTCTTCATTAAAGACATCAAGTTAAAAGACTTAATCAAACTGATTGAATATTTACATGGAGACTGACCAAAAAAACCTACCCTCTCTCTCCAAATATCCACTAGTGTTTACACTGCATAATTGTCATTAGAATTTTTCTAGACACCAACCAAAAGTGGCATTGGTATCTTATGTTCTACTGGGGAGGGGCATCCAGCCATCCATCAACTTGGGTTGTAAAAGACCAATTAAGCTGGAGGCTGTTCTGCCTCACAATATTGTTTGCAAACTTGCTCTGAGTCTCACCAATGTTTCTCAGATGTCACAGGGGATGTCAGATCCAATCAAATTTGTCACTAGTCTGTAGGCAAAATTACAGATTCCTAATCAGGAATTGATTTAGATGTGGACCAAATACTGCTCCGAAATCTTGCTCAAGATAATATTGTAAAGGCCGTTAGGATATTAGCGGTGCCTGTCATCTTCAACCAAGATGAAAACAAATCAAAACGCAATGCCCTGACCATAAAACTAAGCGAAATGAATTGTGTATGCATGCCTCATCTCACTTTGGCATTTAATAAATGCTACGTCAATTATCATCTTGTAGTCAGGTTAGCAGTTTTGCATTTCTGCCCACTAAGAAGCTACCGCACAGACGCTATTTTATCCTGCTCTGTTGCTGAGGACACAAGTTTTGATCGGCATTTATGAACTACAAATCTGAGTGAAAAAAATGGCAAGTAATTCAAGCACTGAAACCCAACTTTTTAGACGATGAACTGCCAGGATTAAGAGCCGCAGTTGTTATGATTTATATCCCCACTGCCATCCTAATACTGACCCTTAACCCACTGTGCTTGGTGGTCCTAAGCCGAGTGACCAGCATCCAGCCCACCAACAAGATCTTCATGGCATCCCTGACTGTCTCTAGCCTGGGTGCCAGCTTTTTTGAAGTGACACCTGTCATTTATTCATCAATCCTTAGCTACTGGCCTCTTGGGTCTTTTTAATGCTATGTACATGTACATGCCATCTTGTCATATATGTTCTAGTGCCAGTGTTTCCTGTTACTGTTCTTTCTAACCATTGATCAGTATCTAGGCATTACCTACTGTCCACATTATCCATGCTTGGTTACCATCCAGAGATCAAGAATCCTTGTTCTCAGCAGTTGGACTGCTGTTACAATAGTCTCAACCCTTAGCACTGCTCTGAATGACCAAAGCCTGTACTCTATTTCCCAATGCATCCTTTCAATCATCACTGCACTAAAGTGTACAATGTCTGGCTTTGTTCTGTTCGGACTGGTTCGGTCTGGGTTGTGCACTTGCACATTCTGGGGATTTCTCGACGTCAAGTACGACGCATTGCCTAGGAGAACCGACCAGAAGAGGGAGGAATTCCACCACAAAGAATCAGCATCAAATTTTCGCCATCATGTCTGCTGTGATTGCAGTGGGCTGGGTGCCGTCCACCATCATCTGGAGTCTCAGTGAGTTTCATATTAATCAGCTGAATGAAACTAGAGTTGATTACTGCCTGTATTTCACTTACAATGTGATGAATGTTGTGATCTTAGGAATTTCGCCAGACACTTTGAGATATGGTGGCTTCTTGCTTGGGTGCAATGGCTGGGAAATGCAATTCTTTCATTCAACCAACAGAGTTGACAGCAGTGTGGTGCTTGAACCCAAATGCATCACAACGATGTCTGACATACATGAAATATGAAACAATGTCAGTGTAACAGCCGATCAGAGTCAACTATGAAGATTACGACAACACTTACAGCAGAAATGTGGAAGTAGCAAGATTGGCCACAAGTTTATTTTAATACCGATGAAGGTACAAAAGAAAGCACTCCTAAAGGAAGACGTGATGTGTATGTCAGCTCTGCTTCCCAGAAAAAAATTATTGCTGTTAGGTGCTTGTTAACGTTATTGCAAAGTTATGCGCGCCATTTGACTGCTGACGATGAAATGATGTAAGTATACATGTAATAGTATAGTTGCTCAAAATCTGAAGGTCGAGAGGCAGTTGCCTGTTATAGTTAGTTGCTGAATCTACTCACATGTACATGTAGATGTAAAAAAACATGCTGAGCAAGCAGCACTCCAAGACTTCTTGTGATCTAGACTGAGTTACCAATGAGTGAAATTCTGCCTCATATGCAAATTGACATGTACATATGATCCGTAAGCCTGTATATCACAGACAATGTAAAACACTTTTTGCGAGAAATTATACACAGGCGGTTGACTGGTTGAAAGTTGCTGGCGCACTCCTTCACGTTAGAAACATTGCAGCCAGCTTAAATAAATTTCAAACCTTGACCGTGCCATCCAAGAAAAGATGTACAAAGTCTAAAGCACCTTGACACCTGGATTTTTGCGGCATTTGACTGAGGTTTGATCAGAGCTTGTTGGTACTTTGACAACTGTACAATAAATACACTCGCTTACTGATGATCGTGATTCTAACTTTGAGATGTTCAAGGCGCTGCTGACTGCAGGGGACTTAAGCCATATACACAGCGCATTTACCCTAATTCAAATAATGCCTCCTTGGTAGCTAGCTTGTGCATGATCTACCACTTGATCGCAAACCTGAACCGTTCAGATGCAATGCTTCATCCTGCGCCCGATGTAGATTTTATAAGAAGATAAGGTACACACAGTAACTTCATTATGCCAATATTGCTTTTACTGTCTGTTTTCTTTCTGTGGGAATATAATCTGTTACATGTACATGGCTAATGTAATGTTGTGTCTATGTATTATTGTGAAGGCACTGATGCGAATGACCTATGAAACCCTGTTGGCATCATTTGTGATGTGAGACATCACAATCTCTTCCTAATGCAAGTTTTGATTTGAAAAATTCTGCTGTGCTAAAGTATTTAGCCATGTTGCTCAGTGACTTGTGGCCTGAAATCGAGAACAAATTTCAGTACATGTATTTGGACTGTTTTCACTGAACTCTTGGCACTTTCGGGATGTTGATTTTTACCGCACAGTCTGCACGTGCCAATCATCAACAGTGATGTGAGTATTTCATTGCCTGTAAATTCAAAGGTGGGAGTATTTTATTTCATTTGACAGACATTGAGAGACTCAACGGTCACAGGTAGATGTAAGAGATGAAATGGATGAAGACAATTTTGCGGCAACGTAATGAAAGCATCAAATGTAATAATTTGTATAAAACAAACTGTGTAAATAGATTTGCGCTGTTCAGCAAAAACGTACAGTGTAAGTAGACTTTCTGTGATCGAGTAGACGTTCACCTGATGCTTTGTAAATGTTAGTCATTTTTGTCTGTGCACAATAAAAATCTACGAGCAAACCCTTAATGCAAATAGCATAAATGCAAAGCCCGCTTACCAAAATTTTGCTTTTTTTAAAAACCTTTAGAAGAATTCAGCAGATAAGAGACTGTTTGTGTATATCAAGTGTTAAAACCCGTAGATGTCTTCTCTCCAGTGTAGGGGGTTTCTCGTTCCCAAATCAAGTTATGACATGCACTCTAACCTTCCGTTCCCTTACCTTATCCCACACCAGCTCCCCTCTCTCCTTGTAGAGTTGCTTAAGTGAGTCCAGGCTGTCTTTGAACATGCTGACGCAATCCCTGATGCTTAACTTCCTCTGGTCATGCAGCACAGTGCTGCTTTGGCTCTCATTTTCCTCTGAATCTTGGGAGAAAAAAGAAACACCGACCACAAAAAAAAAACAAGAAAGGATGAAACGAAATCTGTGAGTCCAAAAAACAAAAAATTAACTCAAAATTTGTTGCTTCTTTCCAAGAAGATTGGTCAATAAGGTCGATTATTTTCTGTTTACTGACCCATAAAATGTCAACAGCATTAACAAAGACATTTTAGCTTTTTCTTGAAACCTTCACACTCATTTCTCTTGCCACATGTATGTTCTAAATAAACAAACAAGACAAATTAATTTGAATTTGCCCTGCCGTTTCTTTTTTTTGAGAGGGGAAACATACTTGAAATAATTCCCCCCTCCATTATTTTGGTACATCAAACTGTGATTCTCAACAAAGAATAAAATTAAAATTGTGGATTTCACAGATTTAATACAGCCTTGAGGAAAGGTTGCATTACTTTCACTTCAAATGAGACATACACTCGTATTTATTGCAATACTTGTATGGTTTGTGAACGGTGCACATGCATACAAATATATGCGTGTGGGCTTGTCAACTCCCAATACCTCAGGCAGATAACATCAACAGTCCAACCGAAATAAATCATTTATATATTTATCATTATATTTGTTTTACTATACCTCATGCATATTTTATTTCAATAACCTTTGAAAATAAAAACATCACCATGAAAGAAAAGAAATGTCCAATCCTTTTGCGACACCGTAATTTCTGAGCATTTCCAACGCATTTTGGATAACCCTCTTAGTGGAGGATGCACACTTATTGTCCAAAATATGTTCCAGTTTGGCATCGCTCAGCTGAGGAAAATGCTGATTGTCTTTCGCGTGGTTCACCGTTGCTAGGCTGGTGACACCACGAGTGCACAGAACACCCGGGCCACAGTTCCTGGATTTTCTGGTACAAACTGCCTATGCGTTTTTAACAGTCGCCCGTGTAAGCCCATGTAATACACATTTGTATTTACTCCTTGTGTGAACAATCGCGCGTGCGCCTTGCCAACAGCAAAAATAGCAGCTGGTGCGTGACCATGAATACACCAATGAGAGCTCGGCTATCCGTCATGAATATGAATGAGGTACAGTAACGTGTTTTAGTTTTACATCAGTTTAAATATATTTGTCATTCCTGCCTGCACATGCCCTGTAGTATTTCTTTTCTTTATGTCCATCAATTTCATTTTTTTTGGACAACCCACCCTTCAGTTAGGCCAAATAAGTCAACGTGGGCTTTTGAAATCTTCAGTACGACTTCAATCGTTGCTGCATTACCACCACTGATTGGCAAAGTTGCTTAACCCCTTGACGCTGGAACCTTTTTCTGATAGCTGACTCCAAGAATTCCAGCCTCGCTTGGCCACGAAGGCCACCTGCTAAACTGCAAATTCTCGGTTTGTGGCCCTGCGTGCTCTGCACGCTTTGATTTACACAGTGAAAAGGCTCATTGTTTGGTGGCATGCAGCTCTACTCACGCTTCCACATTCCCGTTGCCTCTTTTCAAAGTGGGGACTATTGTGTAGCTGGCGATTATGATGCAAATTTGGCCTTTTCATTTCTTGGTAACACACAAAGGCCAATCACCATATATGCAAGAGCCAGGCCGAGAATAATAGCTGAAAAGCAGGCTGAGGGATCTCAACTTTTACGGTGGCTCTTACCGCTTCCCGGTGAGAAACGGTTGAATCTATGACATAACAATATAGATCTCCATGCATGCAAACTACGAGCACATACACGCTGTCTCTGCTCTAGTAGAGTTTGACATGACATGCAAAACTGAAAGCAAAGAATTGTTACTTTCCAACCTCAGGACACTGAACTTCACGTAGTTTCGAGAAAAGCGAGCCGAAGTATTGGACAAAGGCCGTAATACGACTTTGACTGACCCTCAACGCACCCAAGTTCTGGTTAGAGCAGCTCCCCTATACTGCCGACAGTGTGGACGGCCGCGCTTGCCAACCAGTGGCTGTAGCACGCGTGCACCAGTCTAGTCTGTATAGTTTATGGGAAAGATCCATGGCTGTATAAATCTTGAACAGCCTACCTTGTTCCTGAGGTAAATTATCCCAGTCCAAGGGCACTGGAGGCCGGCGTTTCTGCCACAATTTGTCCATGGACAGCAGGTAGTTGATGTCATCGTGGAAAAGCTGGCAGACGAGATTGCAAATGCAGTGTCAAAATAGGAAGGTCTGAAGTCTCTGCTGTAATGTGGACCAGACCCTTCAAACTCTACCAGAATTTGCTAGAAATAAGGGGGAAAAGCCCAGCCACTATTACATCAAGTGGGGCTCCACGCATCTTGAAGTGCTACTGCTTTCCTGTACTAAATTTGGAGGTTCCTAAAAATGCATTACCTCTGAATGGTGCTCTTATTAAAGAGGGAATGAAGGCAGCAGTGCTGTCATCAGGAATCAATCAATCCTGAGTGTGCTCGTTTAATATCAAGTTTTTAAAAACATCCATACTTTCACTGTGTAACATTGTGGAATTGAAGGGAGATCATCAAATGAAACCTTATAACTTGAAACTCACAAAACAGCTTGACCATAATTTTACTAAAGACACTGAATACAAAGACAATCAAACCTGGGTCAGTTTTTCTATTCCTATTGGTGGAAATGCATCACGTGACGGTGTATTGACATTTGATAACGCCTGCTGAGAAGTGATAATGCCCACTGCGTAAATCACGCGCTGGCACATGGATACGAGACAGTTTAATCGGGTCTGATTGGTTGGAGTCTGCGTGCATGCGTGCACTTTCAAAAGGAATAGACCATAAAATGGACAGGGGTGCTTGGGAAAATGAAAGTAAAGTTTTAGAACTAAACTGTTGGAAATCCATCATATGTTGACTTCTTTTGACTCTGAATACAAAGGTATTTATGCACGGGAATAAATACCTTGCTCAGAAGAATTAATCCCGATAATGTCCTCGCCTGCGGCTTTAGTCGCATCCATTCTCCTGAACCGGTCTTAAACGCACGTTTAAGTCCAGCCAAGCACATATTTAATCCCCTTTTTTAAAAGTCTGATGCATCATTGTGTTTCTGACCTTTCTAAATAACTTTTGTGCATTGTAGTCGCTAGACTCCGCCCAGGCCCTTGTGGACGTTCTCTCCACACCACCCAGCGCGTCTTTGGCGGGGTCAGAGTTCAAGCTCTCCTGGCCGGCATCCCCAGCGGCCTCGGGGTCTGCCGTGTCCGGGGACACGTCCTGGTCTGGATCTTCTTCACCAAACAATTGACTGCGTTGAACGAAGAACAAAAATCAAGGGAATGTTGGTTCGACCCGGAGCAATGTCCTAAATAAGGCTGGGCCGATTGGAATCACTGAACATACATTTGTACAAAGGAGCAACTTTCCCTTCAAAAGAGGGATTGCACCTCACGTATAAACAGGCAGGGGCTTTCTTCTTTTATTACACAGAGGATTTTAAAACCTCAGTAAAATCTGCAAGCAGTGACTGATGAAATCTCCACCCGTCTTCGTGTTTGAGTCCTTCCCTTTGAGTTTCTGAACACACTACGATTCAAACTAGTTCATGGAGGTTGGGCATGTGAGGAGCCCTGGAGTAGCTGTGAGCAGAGGCTGGGTATCATAGCAAATGTTGCTCAGCTGCAATGTCTTGGTGTTTTAAAAAATATACAATAACCCAGTAAGAAATATTGAACAAATCTTGACCAAATAACCACCATGAACCAGCATTTGTGAAGTTGTACTTTGTAAAGAACTCTTGTGGCATCTTATTATTTCAAAAAGTCAGTATATTTGGTCAGAAATTATATCGCATTTGGGATATAAGGTTGCTGTGGAATTATTCTGTCTTCAAGTTGTTAAACAGCTTCAGGATCACTTTAAACACTGGCACAGACCAGCAGGTCATGCTTTGTGGGGAACTCACTTGAATAAATGTTTGGCCCATACAATGCAGTGGATGGGCTCAGATGGAGTGTTCCGTATTGTACAGCCAGGGAAGGATTTCTGAGCTGGCTGGGGTAGACACTCGTAACACTCTGTTAAACCCTGAGAGTCAGAAAGCAAAAGGAGAAAAAAAAATAATTCATAAGATGTGCCAATGGCCCATAATGTTTTTACAAAGCCATCAAAATGAAATATTGCCAGGACATTGCTGTGAAATGAATGGTCACTCTTTCTGGAATTCCTCTTTTTTCATGCAGTTTACACTTTATGGCACTAATGTATACTTCTGAGCAGCGGCGTATCTCGGCCAATGAACCTTGAGCGTAATGCTGCTCATCAGTACGAAATTTACTGATAAAGGGCCTACTCTACAATATTACTCAACGTCAGACTTTTAAGCATCCCTCAGTTTAGATTAGGAACATCTAACTAAGAATAATGACCAGTTGTGACTGGCATCACATACTGTTCTAGCAAGGAACAGGAGGTCTTCTCATTTAGCACTTTATGTCCTTGGTATGAAATCCAACAGCTGATTTCTACTTGGAACTCACACACTAAGTTGAAGTAGAGACTATCACAGGACCAGACACAGGACCAGACACAGGACCAGACACAAGACCAGACACAAGACCATTCCCAAGATTAGCCACAAGGCCAGTCAAAAGACCAGCCACAAAACCAGTCAAAAGACCACCCACAAGATCAGTCACAAGACCACCAACAAGACCAGTCACAAGTCCAGCCACAAGACCACCCACAAGACCATCCACAAGACCAGCCACAAGACCAGTTTCAAGACCAGTCACAAGACCACCAACAAGACCAGTCACAAGTCTAGCCACAAGACCAGTCACAAGACCACCAACAAGACCAGTCACAAGTCCAGCCACAAGACCAGTCTCGAGACCAGTCACAAGACCACCAACAAGACCAGTCACAAGTAACGGTGTAAACAATGACAAAGGAATACTTTTTTTAGGATTTATTCAAATGGTTGAGACTTGAATTCAGACAGGACCTCTTAGGTTGGCCTTAAGACTTCTCAACTCCAAACAAATGGCAAGTGCTGGAAAACATCAGTTCAAAAAAACAGTCACCTTACATATACATCACCAGTCAGTATTTTTACACTGCCCGTCTATATGATTATAAATATTGCCAGTTAACATAGTTGGTATATTAAAATACGGCAGTAAAATATGTTGATATTGCCAGTCAATATGTCAATGTTATTACCTTCTTTATGACGGACACTTGGCCCAGGTAGCCGCCTGACCCACTTTCAATCAATGGCACATCGGCAGCCAGGCACATTCTGTTGACATGGTTGCGAGCAGCTAGATAGAAGAGACAAAAATATGACCCTGGTTTGCATTTCAAATTCTAAAACAATGGCATGAATGAAGTCCACACAGGAACTACAGATTGACCATACCAATAATCATAGATGAATGAATCCTTTGCAAGGACAAATGATGTGGAGTACGCACAGCTTATTTTCAGCAGAATGCACACAAACAGAATGTATAACCCATTCGCGTGGCTTGCTTGGTTATTGGATATCCGTGCCAGAACTCACCCCTGTTGTCTAGCGCGTTCATCACCACATTGAACTGCATGAAGAACTCCCGGTTATACTCTGTACTAAAAAAATGAAAACCACAGCATTCAAGGGATCAAGAAGTGGCCAAAATGATTATGAAGGCAAGTGGATCTGGTGGCTGTGCAGTCAAGTGAACTTCGAGGAAGGTGACCAGATTTGGGGGCTCTCCTTGAAGTTATTTTGAGAACAGTCGAACTGTACACCGCCTACCGATGTATGAATTGCAGGAACAATTCTAAAAACCATTGCAAATGATCAACAAACAGGTGGCACTGAAGTGCCAACTCTTTATAACAACTGTCTGACTTTCACCATTCAGCAGCTGCAGACTGACAAAGCGGGAAAAAAACAAAATCATCAGAAGCTTACGTTGTGATGCTTTCATGTCGAGCATCAATCTTTGCATTTGGGTTGAACCTCAGGGCACTCTCCTTGGCAACCTGTCGATGAAATGTACAATGCCGAGTGTGAAATCCCTGCCAATCAATTATAAGTCAAGAATGAATATGACACTGTCCAGCCCATACTGATACACCTGTTGTTATCCGCTGAAGAAGGACTTTAAAGACTTACAACTGGAAGTACCAAAATAACAGATTTGACTGTATTGGTGACTCAGAACTACCACCATGACTACAGTAAGCCTCAACTCATACGGTGTTGCATTCCAGAGGTCACAGGTTACAGTCCAACTCGAGCTTAATTTCCTGTTGTCAATGGCTATCAGGAATCACTTATCGGGGCTTTCCCCCAGTATAAAAGGTCACATTAGTCACAGGTCTGCAATTTATGAAGGAGAAAGCTACAATTCAGAAGCTATGTCAAATATGAAAACTGCAAATTATTCACTTCCATTTTATTCACAGGCCCTGGGAACAAAGGCCGTAGTCCAATATCTGCATTACTTGGACCCCATTTACGGGACTAATTCCAAACTTACCTCTGCCTTTGATTTGCCGACATGTTTCTTGTGAAAGAGGAATTGTCTGTTGAGGTTACTGACATCAATGGTGTCCAGGTCAATCTAATCCATTGGAAACAAAAGATATCAAACGGACATGACAACTCAAAGATGCTGACTATGTTTCAAAACTTTAAAATTCATCTTTAAACATTTATGCCCTGAGATACCTGTAAACCGGTAGAGAGCCAGAAGATGAACCATGTTAACAATATAACAGGGAAGCAGTGTTGTAGTCGAGACCATCGCAAGACCAGACACAAGACCATGCACAAGACCAGTCACAAGTAACAGGGTGAACCATGACAAAGGAATACTTTTGTTGCAGTTCATTTGAACAGCTTGTGACTTGAATTCAGACTGGAGGTCTTGTGTTGCTCTTGTGTGGTCTTGTGAAGGTCTAAAGGGGTCCCGACTACAACACTAAAAGTAAAGAATTTTCACAATGTATAAGGTTAACTGAAAAAACAAACAAACAAATTTCTCAATTATTACTAACGTTACATCATTCGTTAATAACAAGACAACTATTTTTTTCCCATTTTAAATAGCTTTAAAACCAAAATGACATCTGATACCTCAGAGAATGTTCTTTAACCACTTCTGCTGGGGACTCCGGGATCGG